CTGGAACAGTTATATATGCTGCCTCTCTAAGCAACACAATATGATCAACATGCATGATACACAATATCAGCTGTGTGGACCTGGTTGATCAATTCTATGGAATCTCTTTCTAATCTATATATAATAACTACATGTGTTTATCAATTTCTTACCAAATCAGAAAATCCAACAGTAAAACATTAAATTTAAGAAGTACTTGATAAAAACAAATGTTTTCAATAACTTACAGCAACCATCATCAAGTTTACATTAATTAATAATATAGAACAATGCATAAAGTTTACAAATTCAAATTAAATAGAATGTTTTCCAGTTTTGTTATTTTCATGTATGTCAATTTCCAAAACCAGTAAGATTTAAAAATTTTTTAAGTTTCAATTTACATATAAAAATTTTATTATAATAATAAAACCTATTTTTTTGTATTACTTCAAATGATGGTTTTCACATGGATGATAATATGTTGGTTTCTTAGTAATTGATAGCCCCTGCTTTTTTATTAACTTTATATGAGCCATTCACTTGTCAAATCCATTAACTCCGTAAAACAAAAAGTATAAAAATTGATAATATAAATTATTTTTTAAAATTCCTTTTAAACTTTAAATTTAAACACATTGTAAAATGTATTTTTATATACTGTTATATTGCTATGCTTTAATGTTAAAATTAGTTATGCAAAAAATGTAAAAGTAATAATGATTATATAAAGGATTTACAAATGGAGTTAATTGATTTGGCCTGCGAATGACTCATATAGCTGCATTCTTTCAAGATATTTTAGATGTGCATTATCATGTATGTGCTGCTTCTAGGTTCATTTACACTTGATTATTATTTGCATGGGTTGCTAAGGTTGTTTTTGTAAGTTCTTACCAAATTGACCCCTTGTGTTCTTTTTTCTTATATTTAGGGAATGTGAAGCATCCCCCATGTATTCTAATTTTATTTTCAATTCTCTTTTCAGTTAACAGAATAGAATACACTCCCAGTATGTTTCAGGGTCTTTGGGATCCTTGAAATTTTTTAGTAATGTAAATATCATTATTGTTTTATATTGTTAATTAATGTAAATCTGAAGATGATCACTTTAAGCAATTGGAAACGTTTGTTTTTATTGTTTACTTCTTAAACTTAACATTTTACTGCTGGATTTTCTGGAATCTTTTACTGTAGCAAAATGGACATTTCTCCACATCTAAATTGTAACCCTATTTTTTTCCACACTGAGTTAACAAAGCTGCCAACTTGACTATATTTTATTGTATTAAATTTTGCTTATTTTTATGTATAATGTTTCATTTAGTTTTATTTTAATTATTCTATTTATTATTTTTTTATTAAATAAATCTATTATAATTTATTTATTTATAAGTTTACATGTAAATTTTAAATTTTCAAAATCCTTGTGAACACTGCATGTATCCTGTGTTTGTTTCAAACATTACTGCGAGTTAAAATTGGTCTGAATAAAAGTCCGAACTGTTTCCCCATTAATTATAATTAGTTCATTAAAAATGGTCGATGGTAATTTATACAGTAAAACTGTAACAAAGAATACAAAAAAACTGTCTTCACAATCTGCTATTTCAATCACCATTGACACCAAAATAACTCAAATCTTCAATTATGGAGGCAATGCAGTTTTTTATTTGAAGATATGACTGCTGTAAAAAATGTAAATTGATTTTAAAAAACTCTTAATTTTATAGTAAAATTTGGTTTCCTTAAATAGCTGTATTTTATTCTATTAAATCCTTCAATAATTAAATAGATTTTTTTAAAAATGCATTTAATCACAAAAATCTACCAAAGAATAATAATAATAATAATAGATCTATCAGATAACCAAAATTCTTGAATATCACACATGATTATTTTAACTGAAAAATCCCTTAACAATGTAGTATCCACGACTTTTAACAATGCATTAACGCATGTTAGGCCTAACAATATTTCTACTTGGTTTTAGTAAAATGTTCCCTTATTATCTTAACATTTTTATCTTATTTATAAGATTTCTCTTTACATTATGTTGGCATTAAAAATATTGTGATTTTCCCCTTTCCTTTCGTGTTACATCAGTCAATAAATAATTACTATAGTGTTCCAATAATAATTTTGATGTTTATTTTTTACCATCATTAACTTAATATATGACACAGAACAATATTATAAACTTTTTTAATAAAAGTATTTTTGCTTACTTCATTTAAGGTTACTTCAGTTATAAGATATTTGAGCAGAATAATTAGAGCAAACTTCAAAAATATCCTCTAGTAATTGAAAGTACTTTTAATATAAAAAGCTTATAATCTTGTTCTGTGCCATGCATTAAGTTATTTGTTTACAATGTCAGTATTCTTACATATTTATTTTATCATCATTACTTGTCTACACAGGGTTGTTCAAAAGTACACAAGAGAATGCTTCCATGCATAGCATGTGTGTCATATTTGTGTTGTACTGTAATAAAATGATTAAATACTGTAGTTTTTAAAGTTACTGTTCATTAAATAATTACTAATAACTAATTGTATGGTATACCTTGATGATTACCTGTCATGACAGTTTACATTGTAAATCACATGTGTCTCTGACAATAGTGAGGTTGTGGTTGAAGTTTTCATCTCTAAAACGTGAACATCGAACGTTGAGCATCACTATCTTGTAAGCAATGTTTGCGTTTTAGAGATAAAAACTTCGGCCACAACCTTGCTAATACCCAAAATGCTCAACCCCCAAATTTATTGACATCAAAGCCAAACTATTACAGTACATATATACATGTTATGCATGGAAGCATCCTCTGGCATATTACTTTCGAACAACCCTGTATATTCATTACGAATAAATATATTTTTAATTTCTAATTGAATGGCTATTCAATATCCATTTTTACACTGCCATGATTATGAATCTGTTTATGACTTTATCATTATGTAGTGATATAATTTATACTTTTACTATTGTTCCATTCATTTAGAAGTAAATTTCTATTATTTTTCATTTATAAATCTATGTGATATAAGTTATCTTAGTTTTTGTATTTTTTTATTAAAATTTTTCTTTAAATATTACCTCAGTAAATAGGATAAAATTTTCTTCTGCAGTTTGTAAAAACGATTTAATTATTACAAATTAATTGTCCATTAATTTGTGATATAGAAATCATTATTTAAAATCAAGACAGTTCTATCATATCAAGATGCTTTGTCATTCTGAGAATTGATCTCATGTTAGTTGGAAATTTAGTTTTACGGAATTGATATTATTTAAAATTTTGAAAACAATTGCGTAAATATCAAGATAAAGATTTTTAAAATTATTTCCTTTAATAGGACTAGTGTAATAATTACATCAGAACTTTTTCAATTGTATCATTTTGCTGTATCTGTATTTTTTTTTATATCTTGTGAACATAATTAAAAATGACATGATGCCAATTAATGGAAATAAAATATCTAATCATAATTGAAATACAAGGTAGCTTCAAACAGTTCCTGGAATTATGCCAGGTTAGTCAATTAAAGGCAATGGAAAAGGGAACATATAATGCACGTCTTAGCTAAACATGTCAGGAATAGAGAAATGTGTTTGAACAAATCTGTACTTGCTGCAAAGATGACAACAGTTACTGAAGATTGTGTTAGGGAGACATTGTGAAACAGATTATGGTAAAAATGTCTGTCGAAGGACAACATGCAAATATCAAATTTTGTGTGTTTTTGGGGGAAAAACTCTGAGACCTTCAAGATGCTTCAGGGCATCTATATTGAATCTGCCATGAAGTATTCTCAAGTTTGACTGGCAAAAATGCTTTTGTGAGGGACAAGAAAGTATTGTTGATGATTTGAGAAATGGTCATTTATTGACATCAATGTCTGAGGAGAAAGTATCTGTTGTACCCAAGATTGTGAGGTCAGGCAGACAACAGTCAATTGAGTAGATTGCCAAGATAGTGGGAATTTTGGTTGGAAGTTGTCATTCCATCCTGCATAATCAATTGAAAATGCACAGTGTTTGTCAATACACGGTGTCATAAATGCTCATGGCAGACCTCATGCGATTTTTACCTTTTCTCCTGGTTGAAGGATATCATCAAGGGACGCCACTTCAAAAATGTAGATGAGGTTTATACAGAGTGCTATATCTGTGTTGCAGGCACTGTCATGAGATGGCTTTCAAGAATATTTTCAGCAACTATATAAGCATTGGCAAAAGTATGTGGTTGCCTATGGACAATACTTCGAAGGACACATTGCTTGATTTGTCAATTGTACACATACTTTTGAGTAATAAACCAATTCTGGGAACTTTTTGAAGCTATCTTGTATATTGTATGTTAAAAATTACTTTCATTTGACTACATTTCATAATTAAAAAGATTATTAATTTTAAAAAGATTGCATTATTTATTACTATTGAAACATTTTCAAATATTTATTTTCATCTTTAAAGACAAATGATTGTTGAATTATAATTGGGCTATACTACTATTACTAATTAAATGTCAAGTAATGTGGCATTTAATTAATAATAATAGTAGTATTGCCCAATTATAATTTGGCAGTCATTTGGCTTTAATATATAACTATCAGGTTTGGATGCTTATGTTTTCATCTTAAGTAACTCAACTGTTTTATTAAAAATTTAAAAACTTCAATTTATACAATGTAAAATTTTTGAAAATGTTTTAAGTAACATTTAAATATATCATAGTTTTATTACCATATTTTATAGGTAAAATTACATTCATAATTTTAACTATAAAGTATTAAAAATAAGTAAATAATTTTCTTGTTCTGTTTTTGTTTTATTCATATATCATAGGTTGTATTATTCTAATGTAATGTATTCTGAAATTTCAGTTCTATTTTTCAGAATAAATTACAGAAACTTAAGATTAGTTATGAATTTATTAATTAAAGATATTTAATATTTTTTTGAATTTGTAAAAATAATAACTCCTTTCTATATGTATGTGTATGTACATGTAGGGCTTAACAGTCGATACAAATGCATTATCATTAGACAGTTACGTCTCACATCAACAATCATTTGGAGTTTATCCACAACAGTCTCCGAACACACATCAGAACTTTGTATATGAGACAGCAGCTCCTACATCACCAACATTGCCTCAAGTAAGTTTTCTGTTAATTTTAAATTTAAAATAACAAAATTTTTTGATAATTTAGATTAAAGATATGTTTAAATTGTTATATAAATTTTCATTAATAAAGCATTTTTAATTTTCTCGATATTGAAAGATGGCAAATTGTTTCTTTATCAAAGTTGATAATGAAGAAAATATTTTCTAACAAAAATAACCTAGTGTATTCTAATATCAATATAAACTTCAGTTTGTAGCCTGGACTGAACTCAAGTCTTTAGTTTGATATAAAAATTTCAATCTGTAAATGTACAAAAATAATTATTTCACAGATTTCACATGCCAAGTCACTTCATTTCTGTATAAATCTTTACTAAATATAAAAACATTATGATCATGATGCACTAGATATATCACAAGCACTTAGTTATCAGTATCTACTTTTATAAAAGTTTTGTTTTTGATTTAAATTTTTTACTTTGTTTTATTTAGTAAATATTTTGAGCTTATTGATCTGGAACTAGTTTTGAGGTACTGTGATATTTTATTTTTCATATCAAACCATAAATTTATAATCTTGGAATTAAGTTTATCTTCTTAAAATTATGCACTAATGCATGAAATTATGTGAATTATAACTATACTTTCATCTACTATATTGTTTCAACTTCCTTATATTTTTGATAAAAATAAAGTTTTTGTAGTAAATATTTAAAATGCTATGTATAACTATTTGTTAAAAAATTTTTAATTACTTATTACTAAATTTATAAGAATTACTGTAATTTTCTGCCTACATAATCCATTTTCAAAAAACTTATGAGTTTATTAGTGAGAATTATAGGCAATGCGTATAATCTACAATAATTTTTCTGTATCAAAAAGTCACTCTAAAATTATTTTACTTGTTACGTTAAGAAATATTCTTGACTTAATAAAACATAATATGATGTGATTGTTAATGCAAGGCTTAAAGAAGCAATTAATTTTCATATTTAAAAAATACATAGCAGCAGCATCCATAGACTATAAAAAAAAAGGGAAGCACAAGTTATAAGAAAAGGCATTATACATTATGTAAGAAGGTTCAAACTCTGATTTAACATTGAATTAGTGTTCCCACAAGATGACACTGGTTGCAATTAAGATTAACTTGTCCTTGAAAACAAGAAACAATCTTGTCTTCAAGACCAACTTTTGGTCAACATATAACTAAGTTGCATGAGACAATGGGCAAATATTGTTCATTAGTTTCTTTTATACTTGCAGAATAGGCTACAAGTCACAAATTTTCTGTTTGTTGAAAATGAAATTTGGGATGCCCTTGGGGATTAGGAAAAGGGTGACAAAGACAACGAAAGGGGACATGTGCATCCAAGTGGCCCATATTGGGCCACTTGGATGCACATGCCCCATTTTTTATCTTTGTCATCACATATATGGGTGCCCCCTACATAGCAATAATAGTATCTTGTTAGATGGACACAAAAGACAAAGGTGACTACACTTATTCATTTCTCACAAATGGAATATACTGTTTGCAAGTCTGTCACCTCTTCAATAAATATCTTTAAGCCAAGCATTGTTTAAACTTAAGATATTTTAGCGTAGATAATCATTAATGATTAATAACATTTGATCCTGACACCTCAACCAAGAATAATAAGAATCGTCTCTTTTATTACTGATATAGAGAGAGTTTGTTTCTGTGATAAATGTAGAAAGTTCTTATAGAAGTGTGATTCAATTACAGTATTTTGTTAATACAGATACTCACAAAAAAGGAAAGAAAATCAGTTCAAAGAAATTAAAAATCGTATTGAATAAATAAAAAATCAATTTTACATGAAGATTGTATTTTTACTGTTAATTTTTATTATTAATCCACTTACTTGTATCATAAATTTGAAATTAGAATGGTTATCCTGGACCTAATAACTTACAGAAAATAAATTTCATTTTGATTTTTAAGTGCTAATGGTGCAAAACCAACTTATAGTTAACATGAATAAATTTATGAGTTATTTTTTTATAATGTGTATTTATTGCCCATGACAATATTATATTTAACATTTAACTGTTATGCCAAGTTATTTATAAGTAGGGCCTAATATTTGGACTCTAAAATAATTTTCTTAATATACCAGCTTTGGCTGTCAAAAGTGAGGAAGTTATAAATCAGAAATTGACTATATATTATAATTCTGAATTTTGAACTTTCATTATAGTATTTTAATGTGAGAATCGGGGTTTAAGCATCAAAGCTTGAACCATTTTCCGACATCGGGGCGGTGAGTCCCACTCACAGGGTCAGTGGATGGCAATTTAGGAGGGCGAAAATCGAGTGGGAGGTCGCGGATAAGTCGATAAGGTGTTGACAGAGTACGAGTAAACACGCATGATTAAGATATAATATAAATTTAATTAGTATATATCATATAAAAGGGTTACAAATACTAAGAAATATAATAATGTCAAAATCAAACCGATATTACAATAGTAGGTTAGTCGGATTATATCTTGGGTATTTCGACTGAGGATAGTCTCTGATCCTCTTTAATATTCTTTTCGCGGAATTAGCCCTAATCCACCTGAGAGGAAAGAGAGAGTTCTACTTACTAAGTTGTAGTTCGTAGGATCTATCTGTGTCCGTCTTTGGTGGTCAGCGATGAGGATCGTTAATCCGTTAGTTCCTTCTAAGTTGGAGGCCACACCGATACTGGCCGGGAGCCCTCTTTATACTGATTTCAAGGGGGTGAGAACTATGACGTTATTCATGATTTATCCGCACACCTGCTAGTGTGTTGATATTTGGATCTAGCGAGTTCGGACAATTGACAGAGAAATTTGTTCAATTTATTGATATTGGTGTCAAGATGACATGATTTTATGTTATAAATTTCTGTAGGTTTGATGGCTCTCATCCATAAATTAACAATCATTTGACAATAATTTCTTTAACCTGGTCAACTATTTAGTTATTGTTTATATCAAACGTCGAGTTTGACTATGAACAAGGCGATTTATTGCCGTAACCACGTGTTACGTGCGACCAAGAGGTGATAAGAAATATCTCTTATTCCCTTCTTGTTGATACTAACGTCTATAGAATAACTGTTAAACAAATAGAAATGATTTAACTTATTGATAGTTTAACATTCTCCTTTTTTTTCCTTATTCGAGGAGAGCGTCTCGGTCATTGACCGTAGAAGTCCCCCTTTTCTCTTTTACTCGGAAAATTCCTAGATTTGTACTGATCTAAAACAGAAAAAGAGTTTCGGACCTTCACATTAAAACGAATTGTTTAATTTCTTTCCTAAATTTGAGAATACTTTTAAACTATTAAACATCCTCATAAATTGCATAATTTCTTTGTTGATATGGTAAGAAATTAAATAAACAACAAAGCAAACTTGCACAAATTATATAGCAAACTTTTCTGTCAATAAAAAGTTATCCTGTAGATTGTAAGTCACCACTGTGGATTATAGGCAGAAATTATGGTAAGTAAATCTTGCATTTTCTTTTAAAGTAAAAACTATAACATTTTAAGTCAGTTAGAACCAAAGAAATAAGAGAAAATATCTCTACCTGTCCAAGAGAGATAGCATTTTTATTTGTTGTTATGCATTGTTTTGTTATAACTATTGTTGGTCTATTCATAGAAATGATCTGAGGATGACATAAAAACTAAAAATCACAGTTTTTTGAAGATATAACCAGAAAAATACCATAGAGCATCATTTATCTGAAGTAATTTGGATGATACAATTTCATACAGCCAATTTTTTCACATAACTGATCTCTAAAGCCAGGACATTTATGTAATCACAGAAACATACAACGTGCAGCTATAAAATAATGGGACTGATGCTATAACTTAATTTTTATTTGGAAACTTACATTTTACTTGTTTTCTGCTTCCACACACTGCTGCATTCAGATCTTGCATTGATCATACATAACAGTGCTACATTCAGTTTCTGTCAGGATATGCACTGTTGTTTTTTGCTTAACTGCAGAAACTGAGTCAAAAGGGATTCTCTTCAATGTAACTTAACTTTAGGAGAGATAAAAGTCAAGTGGAGCTAGATCTAGTGAATAAGAATTGTATTCTTGGCCAAAAACCACTTTATTGACAGTGTTGAATGTGCTGGCACATTGCCCTGATGAAGGATGAAAGCATTTTGCCACATGTCTGGTCACTTCTTTTGATCCTTTCCCATAAAGTTTCGAGAACAGACTTGTAGTAATATTGGTTCACTGTTGTGCTTTCTGGAACTCAATGCTTTAAAATTACACCTTTTAATATCAAAGAACACAATCAACATGGCTTGAATTTGGACTTGATTTGCTGCACTTCATTTTTGGTGACTGTGGTGTTTTCCAGTGCATGGACTGTCACTTTGTCTCAGGATCATACTGAGATATCCAAGTTTCATTGCACATTATGACATTTTCCAGAAAGTCCAAGTTCTGTTGAATTTGCTCCAAAATCTTTGTGCACATTCACTTGTAAGTGTCTGATCAACAACCTTTGCACAAGTCTTTGTCATATTCTGTTTGTCATGCAAAATTTGCCTCACACTCTCCTTATCCATGTTTGTCATTTTTACAATCATATTTTTATGCTCAATCTTCAATCATTTTGAACAATTTCATTGACTTTTCATATGTTTTTGCCAGTTTTTGATTTGCTGGGGTGTTCAGAACAATCATTGTTTTTGACATCCTTTCAACCTGCAGAAAATCTTCTGTCCCATTCAAACGTACATATGCAAGATATACATACATTCCCATAAGCTTCATGTAGCACAGTATTTCTCAATGGGGGTGATATCACCTCCATGTGGGTGATTTTCCATGTTGAGGAGGCATTTACACCATAAGTAACAATTTATATTTTGGGGCGAAAAACAATTTTCTGGGCGATATAATATACATAATAACATTATATTAAGAATAATTAGATATTTTATTCGTTATATCATACAATAATTAAACAAATAACATTTATACTAGTCACTAGTC